TTAAAAGAATAAATTAAAAATGGACAAAAAAAAAAAAAAAAAAAAAAAAAAAAAAAAAATACCCACCAAATTTTGTAACTTATTTAAAAAATATAAAAATACAAACTCCTGTCCGTAGATTTGGGTTAGTTTGAGGAAATCTTTTGGACTAATTATATTGTTGGTAATTCGAGCAACCCTATAAGTTAGCAACTTAACCCAATCGGACCCAGCTAGGTTACTTATCTACCATACATATTACATAAATAACTGAAATATCATAGAAGTGTCTGTAACTCTATTTTTTGATTGGTTGAGTTGACATAAAAAATGTCAACTTTTGAGTCAACCTAAATTATGAAGTTTTTTAAAAAATTAACTCAACTCTATTTTTAGATTAGTCAATTAAACTTGATTTGAATCTGAACGTGTTGGAGAGGCTATATTTAGAATATGGGTTAGGTTATAAGAGGAGACTCAAGAATTTAGACATTAAATCACAAACCTTTTCATACGTTCATTTTGACGAATACATTCAATATAATTTCTTAATCATGACTATATAAATAAATAAAAAGTAAATAGAATAAATATTATTTATTTTAAATTACAAATTTAGTCCTTAAAGTTTTTAAAAATAGTCTAAGATCCCCAAATTTTTATTTTATTCCTAAGCTTTATATACGTTAAAATTTTAATTTTTTAATTAGTAGATTCATGAATTTAGAAAAAATAAATATAAAATTTTAAAAAATTCAAGACCTATCAAACCATAAATGAATGTTTTGAGATCTATTAAACATTTTTTAAAGTTCGATGGACATAAAATTAAGAATTTAAAAATCAACATGATGGTTAATGAGAACCGTCGTAAATATGTAAATAAGAACAATATTTCCATTAGATCCAAACATTTTTTTAGTTCGGATAGAATCAACGACATAGAACTATCTAAACATGGGATTTCAAATAGTCTATAGAAAATTGTATCTTCTCAGGAGTGATTTGTCATCTTATAAAGTTTCCTTCATATAATTTACATAATAAGTTCTACATTATCTTATTTTTCAGAAGCAACGAAGTTCATCTCAAATCTTACAATGATAATAAAAGGGGACCAAGCCTGGCTCCTAATGTAACCAATGGTTACATGACTCCTCACACTTTTCTTCATCACAAATCAATCAGCAACCTTCGTTTTTTCCATTTGGTTTTCAGACATAGAACATTAAGAATGCACCTGGCTTTCCATCATCCCACGAAACTCGACACAGACCTCGGCAGTCGTGACTACGACCACCGGGAACACAGAGTAACACTCCTATAAAGCATCAAACGCAGAATAGAACATGCATATCATCTCCCCCTATTGCTTACCAGAACTACTAAAAACTGGATAATAGGTTTCCAGTTCAAGCTGCTCCAAGATTTGGCGAGTAGCCCATAGATAGGAGGAGTGACCTTCAATCACATCTGTCACATCAACCTGCAAATCCAGTGAATAACCATTACGGTCCCCTAACAGCAGTTTTATAAAAGAACTGGGAGTTTGGGTCCTGGAAATATAAAAGGACATGCAAAATTTCCCCTAGACAAAGAAGATTATTAATACATAGCTGAACTTTTAATCTGAACAATTATCTAACTAGGAAAATCATTGCATCTAAATCCTATCTTTGTAGCTCAATGGTTGAAGATCAAAAACGGCACCAGTCGCTGAGAATTTAAAGACACAAGTACGAAAGGAAATTACTTAAAACTGAAAGTAAGAAGACGCAATGTAACCATTTCTAATGTAAATTTTGCAATTTTACCAAATGTAAACATAAACTATAGATTCTATGATCATCAGAAAATTCTAAAGAACAGGTGAACAATGAGGAAACTAGAATAGATAGTTATATTACATTCTCAATGCCAGGGACGTCGATAGGTTGAATTCCAGCTAACCCTTGAGTAAGAAGACTGTAGAGGAAACAAAAGTGAGTTGGAACGCTTCGTAAATGCACAGGAGAGAAACTTGCATATCATATTTTCTTGAACATATAGAATTTGGTGAGTTGGGGTTTTTCATCTTTTAAAGATAAGAATTGACCAAAATAAATTATTTCTTGATTTATCCAAAATCGTCTGTCTAAACAGAATTCACACTAAATTGATATTATTTTGAAACTCACTGCTTTTCCAGAATTTCTTTCCCCCCAAAAAAAACTACCTTACAATTGTATAAAACCCCATTGAGAAATGCTCCGATCTAATATTTGATGATAGAAGCTGACTTGAATTCAAGTCAGCTTCAAATTCTCTATCAGTACCTGGCACGGAAAGCAATTCCAAGCATCCAATCATTTGTGGAGTATACGTTCACAAACCTTCCAGCTACCATCTGTGAAACAGTAGCAAAGAAAGGATATGACGTGTAGTTATTAGTAAAATACTTGCACATAGGAATAGAAAGAAACAAGTTGAGGAAAGTGCTTTGTAGTGTAGAACATATGGTCACCTTTCTAGCAGCTTCCCAGTTCTGATCTTTAATTGATATGGGTGCTCCAAGAAGAACCACTCTTTCCACAAGCTCGGCTGATAACATTTAAATATGGTAAAATAATTCATAAAAGAGCAGAATATTGGGAAATGATGATTACCGCTTTTTTCAGTCTCAGCCAAATATTGGAGACACTTGAATATTACACGTGCACCCAGTGAGTACCCCACAAGTGTCACAGGCCTAGAATTATCGTGGGAGAAGCTATCATCATTTTCTGAAAAATAGAACAAACTTCTAACTTTAAGGTAAGAGTGTTGCACCTGTTCCCTTGTAAACCTTTCAACAACACATCTGCCAGCATTCGACCAGCTTTGTCTGATCTATACAGAAAATCAAAGGCAAAAGATTTCTTTGAAAAATACAATTCAGAAATTGTCCGAGCATAATTTAGATATTAGAGTGAGAATAAAATGTCAGAACAGTGAGATCCGATGAGCTGATATCCTAGTAAGCCTCTCATATATATGTAGCAGATTCTAGATGAATATAAGAAAGGAAATACATACGTGTCTGACACAAAACCTGTTAATAAGCTAGGCCATAACACGAAGACAGAGCAGTTAATTGAAAGGAACGGGAGACTTTGACATGCATGTAATCTCGATAAATAGCCTAGACTAAGAAATGAAGGGAATAAGACTAGTCTACTCTTTTATCACTTTCACCATCCTGGGCAGAGAGCTCATCTCCCATGACTGATACTCATGCTAGAGTTGCATGATCATGTAGGAGCAAGCTATACGGTTCTTTTTCTTTTCTTTATACTAGGTTTTGATTAGATTGTTCTCAATCTTCTAATTATTGCAATGCTGCACTAAAACTCATGAAAGAAGGCAATTTTATTGCTACAATTTTGTGATAGTCCCTGTAGTTACGAAAGGCAATGAAAGCAATCTGTTAGGCCCCATTGATTCATACTAAGTTTAACTTCATCCCCTCTCACCCAGTTACTGCAAAAAAAGGCTTTCAGTGGATGGATGAGGTTATCGCAACCTTCAAAAGACTTAATAGAGCTATGGTGACATCCCTATGTTAGCATCGCCGGACATCAAGTTGCCTTTTGTGATTAAGACTAATGATTCAGGCACGAGGTTAGGGGTTGTGTTAATTGTAAGATGAGAGGCATGTTGCTTTCTCTGGCCATACATTGTTAGTGAGGGCCCAAACTAAATCCGTTGATGAATGAGAGTTGATGGCAACAGTGTTATCAAAGTAAAAATTGAGCAACAAGCATTACGGTCAGCTTAGCTAGAAAGAGATTCAGTCGTAATTCAAAAAGAGGGTTACGGAACACTTTGGTATGACTTTGGAATTGTGCATCGAACTGGACTCGAGAACAAGGTAGCCGATGCATTGTCCAGACATTCATAAATAGCTTAGCTAACAAACTTCTCTATTCTTTTCATCATTTATTTAGTCAAGGTCTGGAAAGAGATCCAAGAAGTAAACTTTGAGTTTGCAAAGATTCTGAAAGAATTACGATACAATTTGCAACAGGGAAACTTGCTCTACAAAGGATGGTGGTGATATCTAAGACCTCAAGCCTCCTTCCCTCAATTCTTTATATGTTTCATGACTCAATCTTAGGGGAGCACTTTGATTCTTTTGTACTTATAAACGCTTGACATGTGAAATATTAAGGTCAAGGATGAAGGCCAAAGTTAAATGATATGTGGAGGAAGTGTTGGATTTTCCAGAGGACTAAAATAGAGGTTGTGTTGCCTAAGAGTCTACTTCAACGAGGGACCGTCGAAATCACAAGGATATGATGTGATTATGATCGTGGTTGATTGATTACGTAAGTACGACCATTTTACTTTGTTTAGCCATACCTTCTCTGCTAAAGAAGTCACATCTGCTTTTATCCGAGAGGTAGTTCATCTGCATGGATATCCTAATTCAATTGTCTTTGATTGCGACAAGATTTTTGTAAGCCATTTTTAGACGGAAATGTTCAAAATTCAAGGAACCCAACTGAGGAGGACAAATTTTCATCCCCAATCAGATGGGCAATCCGAGTTTGTAAACAGGTACCTCAAGACGTACTGTATCCATGGACAGAATGCTAGTATAACACGACATACCACAACTCCATTTATACAACCCCATTCCATATTGTTTATGATCGGCAGCCCCCCTATGGAGAACCACCAACAACTCTTTAGGGGTGCAGTTTGTTGAGAGAGATCAGACATTACAAGCCCTAAAGAACCATTTGAGCCAAACACAAGAACGGGCCAAGAAATTTGCTGATAAGCCATGGAGGGAGTTAGTTTTCCAAGTGGTGGGAGACTCGGTGGCTTATCAACTGGAAGGGGCACGCTGAAAAACAAGGTGCTAGAGTCCACGAGGGCATTGTTAGGCCCCAACAGGTAAAAAAACAACTGCAGGAGGGGTAAAAAGGGAAAAGGAGAAGTTGACAGTTCGAAAGGTTGAGAAAGCAAGAGTACCGAAGTCAGAGAAAGTTGTTATAAGGTGAAGGGATTTGCGTAGTGATTTTTTGTACAAGAATTGGAGGAACCATCAGGATGAGGGAGAACCAGCAGCTCTCTCAAGGCATCTATGTGTTTTCTTCTTCTTTCTCTTTAACTCTTGGATTAAGCTAGCAATCAGATACCATATTGTTCCTCTGTTTATTGTGTTGGCTGGATATTTTTTTTGATTTACGTTGCAGGTTATAGTTAGGAAGAGGGGTTCCACTCATGAAATAACAGAAGACTTTCCTCATTTCCATCTTGCCGTCATTCCTTTATAAACTACTACCACCAACTAGTAACTAGCTCCATCACAAATGTTTCCAGTCCTAACTAGAAATTTCAGTATTGGCTAATATCAACAAAGAATATGTACTTGAGCAAAAACTTGAAGCGTTAATATTTCAGAAACCAGATTGATGAACAACTTGCACGCCTACTATATATTCTAAAAACACCTGGCGCTCAAAACTTGTTTAGAACCTGAAGGTAGCTCCTTCAATCAAAGGAATCATAACCTGTCAACGGCAATTGTCCACTTGCTGTCTATGAAATCAGTAGCCGAAAGTAAGGTAGCTGGCCAAGCCAGTGCTACTAAAAGAGAGCTCAAAACAGTCATCATTGCACCACGCGTCATCAACTCCATTGCAAGTCCTATTATCAAGCAAAAGAAAATCATCATTTAGGCAGGAAGAATTTTTTATTGACTAATAGTCACAACAGCATAGGAATTCAAAGATAAATTACTTGAAGTAAGCCAATCCTGAATTGCAGTGCTCACTGCAATTATATTTTTAGATTCCCACTGCAGTGCATACCTAAACATTAGCAGAGGAAAGAAAATAAGCTCGTTCATCCCGATAAAACAATATTAGAATATATAGTTTTTAAATTAAGTGCCACCGTAGGGTCAGGTTAAAGAGCAAGCAAGAAAAGATTTGAGTAAAAATCCAAAATATGCTTCAACTACATCGTCACACATTCGAGATAACCTAATTGAGTATGTTTAAGACCATGGTGTACCTTTCCAAGTTGTTATTTAGTCCTTCCCATGGCCTTATGAAATCTTTCTCATCGAAGGCAAAACCTGACACAGTTATCTCAACTGCCAATCTCTGAAATAAGTAGATGTTATCAATTTCCATGTTGGAAAACAAGTGATATGAATTTGTGATAGAATTAAACAAATCGCACAGAAGTGTCTAATATAGATCCGAAATGCACCAAGCAACAAACAAGATACTCACGCCTTTGTTATGATTTTCTCCAATTGGTTTAAATTCAAACTCATCAATGCTCCCAATTCTCCTAGCCATTTTGGTTCCTGTAAGTCCTGCTCCAGCAGCTGAGTTGGAACAATATTTAGACAGAGGTATTAGCATAGTTCTCAATAGATTATTTTCAAAACATCAAGCTTGCCTAAAAATACTTTAATTATTTTCAGTCTGATAAGGTTATGTGAATAATGAATTTAATTACAGCATAGAACTAGCGAGCATAACAACAAGCAGGAGCCCTGGAATGATGTTTGGCATCACTACCATAGTCATTACGTTGGAATACAGAAAACAAAGACGAAAGGTTAACAATAGAATGAATAGAAATTTGTTTAAGTAAATCTAAACTCCCACTTCCACTCTATATGATGTAATTACTTCCAACTTTTTATGTATTATCTTACCACCAAAGGATGCAGCAACAGCCACGGATCCAGCAACAGTCCCGGCAGCACTGGCAGCTGCAGCGAATCCGCTTGCACCAATGACGGGGATGATGGTACCCAATGTTGGAGCTAAGGCACTAAAACCTGCAGCAATTGCTGGTGCAGCTAATCCTGAAAACAAAAATAAAATCTCCTTACTAATAACAGAAAACATTAAACTAGAACATATTTTCCTAGAATCTTTGGTAGTTCTTATACATGATAGAATACTGAAATTCAGAGACCATGTACCTCCCGTAATTGCCATCAAGGTCCCTCCAGTTAATGCAGCTGCACCAATAATACCACCACGTTTCCACTTAGCCCAGTGACTCTCCTTTGTAGGGCTTTCATGACCTATCTCTGCCACGCTTTTAGCCATAGCCATAGCTGAGCAAGCAACCATTGTCTCAATTGCTTCCTGCAAAGCAGAAAATGTCACCCATAAGGAGGGGAGGAATGAGAGAAGAGAAAACAAATCATCTAAAAATGATTAAAAAAAAAAAACTTAGTTGATGAAAATTGCTCAGGTGATGCTAGAAGAGAATGCAGAGAAAAAAACCTGAATGCAAGTTCACGTAGTTGTGGTATGAGATATACTGAAAGCAATACTAAATTATAAATTGGGTCCACATATTTTACTGAAGAAAAAGTACAATTTATGATTTATAGGCAATTGTATCACACTAAAATCTACTATTTTTCATTCAAGGTTCGAGCACCTATATTGTTTGTAGCAGCAGCAGCAACAACAACAACAATAATAATAAATCTCAGTTTTTGGACCAGCTCTGTGAAAAAAAAAGTGGTCGAGGAAGAAGTCAATAAAGGTTCTAAAAAGAATTGAGGATGCAGATTTTGAAGAAAATATGTTGGGTGATTATGATGCTTCCTGTATTAGTTAGACTCATCGTCCTGTTTGTGAGTAAAAGGAGGAAACTGGTGAATTAAAAAATGAACAAATTAATGATAAGAAACATAATGTTGGACTAGTTAAATTATTTGAAAAGGAAATTTTTTTTAAAATTTCTTATTCACAGAAAGATCAGTGGAAAATAAAGGAACAGAAAACGATTGTTTATGATGGAAGTTACAGAGGACCTTCACCAACAGTTCATGAAATAAATATTGCTATATGAAAGTTTGGTGAAGTACTTGACACAGGCAGGACTACAACTAACACTCATACCAAAAAGGAAATATTGAAGGAAAGAAAAGTACCACAGGGGAGATAGAGTTATAAAAATCTGATTCCTACAATTAACTATAAGAAAGATGAATTGGAGAAGGATGCAATGGGAGCTGTGGTATCTTTATGAAAATTTGAAGATGGAATACAAGGGAATTGGGAAAAGTGGGTTTAGAGAATCTTGATTAAAGAAACTAGTACAGGGTGCTCTTTTTTTCCTTTTTTTGTCTGCAGCACAGAAGGTGATAAGTAGTGAGGAAAGTGCGATCTCTGTAATAATGGCAAATAAATAAATAACAAAAGTTGAGCGTGCAAACCAGTTTTATCCACTTGATATCTACCCAGGTTGATAATAACCTCAAAGCCACACGATGCCGGGCATCATAACCTTTTCTTTTCCGGGATTTTTTCTTGTCGTCTACGCTTAAGTCAGCCAAACAAGCAGATAGAAGCTCATAGAGAACAACCACTTTTCTCCGGTAGCTAAGCATTTTTTCCTCTTCAATTGGTTGCTCAATAGTCTCAATCCATGCTCCACCATCTGGCCGTTTAACAACCACTGCATTACCATCAGTGCCTTCTGTTTGCTTGTCAAATTCTTCAAAATTCAATTTTTCCTTGGAAGACAAGCACTTCTCTCGCCATTCATGTTCATATTCAAGACACTTTTCATTAGACTGAGAACTTATAAAATTCTTCTCCATGTTATCTGCTATACCATCAACAGATTTTGATAGAGCAAGTTCCCGTTCTATCATCTCAGAAGAATTTTCTTTGTCCTCTGATAGCAACCGCAAGAACTGAGACAGAAGTTATATAAAAATGTGTTACAGATCAAATTACACAATGGGAATCACGTATAATATCTATAACGTATTTACACGCAGAGACATATGAAATAGATAAGTCTAATAAGCTATGCCACAGCAAACGATTAAAAAAAAAGTGCAATGATGATTAATAGATTAATGGTATCATAATTTATGGGCAGCAGCTCAGAAAGAGAAATAAGATAACGTACTGCTCCAATGTGATGCTTAGCTGTACCGGATCCTGAAGTTTCCTCGAGTCCAGGCCAAGCTGCAGAGTCGATCTCTAAAAACCTGATTGCGTGAAAATCAACATTGAGACATTCCTGGGAAGATCGACCAACAAATTCTTGCAAAATAAATAACTAGGAAAACATTGAAATAGAAAATCCCATGTTCTTAAGCTTTGCTCTTCTTAAAATGAAACAATACTTATGGTTTCATTTCTTTTAAACATTCTACTTCTAGACATGTTATGGCTCCATTTCTTTTAAACATTTAACAATCTCGAGGAAAATTAGTTTTTCCACATAAAAAGAAAAATCAATAAATTTCATTGATGGAAAACCAACACCAAGGACTGTAATGGCCCAAGCTCACCGCTAGCAGATATTGTCTCTTTGGGCTTCTCCTCAAGGTTTTTAAAATGTGTATGCTAGGGAGAGGTTTCCACACCCTTATAAGGTGTTTCGTTCTCCTCCCCAACCGATGTGGGATCTCACAATCCACCCCCTTTTGGGGTCATCGTCCTCGCTGGCACTCGTTCCTTTCTCCAATCAATGTTGGACCCCCACCAAATCCACCTCCCTTCGGGGCCAACGTCCTTGCTGGCACATGCTCATTTCCACCCCCCTTCGGAGTTCAGCCTCCTCACTGGCATATCGCCCGGTGTCTAGCTTTGATATCATTTGTAACGGCCCAAGCCCAAGGCTAGCAGATATTATCCTCTCCGGACTTTCCCTCAAGGTTTTCCTTTTCCTCTTTTCCTTGTTTCGACACCGTTCAAATCAAGGGTCACATCCAACAAGTACCATTCAAAAAAACTAGTTTCTGAATTTCACAGATTAAACAGTTGCGTTCCCAAACTCTGAATTTTCATCATGTTAAACCACCCGTGAATCTGAAATATTGTTGAGTTAATTCATCTTCTTAATCTATTCAAATCAATCATATAACGAAAAAAATTTACCAATAACAACATCCAAAATCAAATATGATCGATCAGGAAAAAAACTGAAACAGCATGCCAGAAGCAAAATCAACCAAACGACGCGAAAGCCAATTGTAGAATGAACAACAAAAGACAATTAGTAAATTTCACACGGAAATGAACAAGGTAGGAACGAACATGAATACAGGACGAAGTAGGCCCGATGACTCATGGACCCAAAGCTCGGGATCATCAGAGACCGAATCACTGCTACTGCCGCTACAACTACTCGTTCGCTCCTCCACCAGAGGTTCATCATCGGAATGCCCTAAAGGGCGCGTCTGATGGATCTGGGCCTGATGAAGAGCAAGTGCAAACAATGCTCCGGAGGCATAGCGTTGAGTAGGTGCCAAGAAGGATGTCATCTGCATGGATCAAGAACTATAAAACGAGACGCTGAAGCATTCAGGCAAAGACGGCGAAATGGATTAATGGGTTCCCCAAGTTAATATCATCAGGAGATGGCGATTGATCGACGACAATGACCGAGTCGCCAAGAGCGATTGATGTAATATGAATCAAATTCTGAAGCTCCCTGTCACAATCGCTCCGGTCCCGGAAGCGTCGTTTACCGTTGCTTCCTATTCCCTGTGATGGAAATCGCCTCTTCGTAGTTCGTGTTTTTTTTTTTTTTTTTTTTTTTTAAATCGGTATCTTTGCAGTATTACCAATTTTATACTTTCATACGTATAGCTTCTTCATTGGTTCTAAATGAAGTATTAATTATTTTTTTTTAACTCTTAAAAGTATTTATTTGGGTTGAAACAATTACTTTGCTTTTAAGCCTATTGCTAAAATATATGGTCTGTTTTGCCCTTATTATCGTTACGTTTTGGCCCATTGTATATTGTTGTTAGCCTCATGATTTTAAAACGCGTCTAGTAGGAAGAAGTTTCTATACTTTTATATAACGAATGTTTCTCTCTAACCGATATAGGATCCACAATCCACCCTTTTGAGGCCTAGCATCCTCGTTTGTACAAAACTCGGTGCCTAACTCTAATACCATTTGTAGCATTCCAAGCCCACTGCTAAAAGATATTATCTACTTTGGCCCGTTACACATAGTCATCAACCTCACGGTTTTAAAATGCGTCTACTAGATAGAGATTTTCATACCCTTGTAAAGAGTATTTCATTCCCTTCTTCAATCGACCTGGGATCTCACAAAAACAATGAATTCAAGCCTCTCAAACCTAAGATTATCATAGAAGTTCAAGCAAACAATGGTTCCCAGAAAGCAATTACGCCAAGAAGAAGAAGAAAAGGATGTAAATAAATACCCTGAGAATGTGAAAAAGTCTAAACAATCAGGTATTATTGATATTCATATTATTCCACAGGCCTTCTAAATGGTGCAGCTTTCATGTTGTAAAAGTTACAATAATGTTAAAAGGATCGACTTTCCCGGACGAATAATGAATGTAAAAACCGAATGTGCAGTGTATAACAATGGAACTATCAACTACATATGCTTAAAAAAATGCATGGAGCTCCTCCTCTCCTCTATTGCATAGTTTTTATCATTTCTCCTCCATAATAATTAATATTTACAGACTCCGCTGCCCTTTGGGTGGCGGCCTGAAACCTGAAAGAAGACCATCTATTCCGCCGCTGAATGGCGGCCGTCTGTTCCACAGGGAGATCTACAACTACACTGAATCTTCATTTCTCGAACTAGAACTACATAATGTGTTAAAACAATTGCTCATTTGGCCATATTTCAGGATCAGTTGCAGAAATGTCTGTCCAGCTTTTACGACCTGTAATCGTTGCCGATCTTATTCCCACAATATTCCTGCATAAGCCAAAGATCCGGGGAAATATTCCCGTACGTACGTCTTGCTTGTTTGTCGGAGTTTCAGATTGGTTCAGTGATATGTTACAAAAAAGGATTTTCGTCCCTCGACTTGATTACCGGTTGAGAGTTTTCTGCAGTTCATGGTTGCTCATCTTTCACTCTGATGTGACCTGGAAACTGCAAATTGGCTGTGGAACTCAATGCGTCCACCTTCCCCATCTCAGCTGCTGGACTGAAAGCGTCGACCGAAAAAAAACAATCATTTCTAGAATCCCGAGTTAGTCCCTCGCTACAATTCACCATCGATGCTGTGGAAGCCAAACCACTCAAGCATTCCATTGCTTCCACTTCTGCCAACAAATCTGAGACAGATTCATCAACCAAGGAATTGAAGTCATTGGGTTCATCAACAATTGCCTCCCAATTTATTGTCGCCGCAGTTGTTTCATGATCGTCGATTATATCAGATGATTTCAGACCAGAGGCAGTTATGAAACTGGAGTTCAAGTCCCCAATCGGCCTACCTGGTGCAGCTGAATACCCACCCCATGCACCTGCTGCTAGTTGACTAGGAAGCTGTCGTCCACCCGCTAAGCTCAAGGCGCTACTCCAACTAGGGCCAGAATTCTGAACAAGAACGCTCGAAGATGCAGATTGTTTAATTTCAACATCTCCACTCATTGGTTTCAGGGTAGAATGAGGAATCTCTGATGGCTTGAATGAACCCATCAAAGATAGACCACTGCAATTAGAGTTCCATTCACGAGAGGAAGCATCTGCAGTCGGAGCGGTCCAGTTTTGTCCGGAAGATTGACTAGAACAGTCCTCACAATTAGACCGTTTCTTGCGACCAGGTTGGCAATGAATTCCTCCCAAAGTAATAGTCTGGGAATTCTGATCCTCGTTACTGGGGCTGTGGTTTTCCTTGGCATGATGAATTTCAGCCGCCGGTGGTTGTAAGGATAACGTAGCGGATGAAAGTAAATTCATAAGGGATGGGTAGGACCACGAATTGTTGTTATTCAAGGACTCGTGTGCTACCTCAGGGTTCCCAGCCGGAGACTGATTCGAGTTGACAGTATCAGCAGGTGCACACAAATCTTTAGAAGGTGAACTTGAACCAGTGCTCATCATAGGCTCGTTTTCAGCGTCACAAGCTGCAACATGACCTTTCTGCTCAGAGTTGCTATTCCTGATAAAATCCATGACAAACCGAACAGAATTTGTACCAGAATCCATACCTCCATTCCTTTGATCATTATGATGATTATCAGGACCATCCAAAGAAAGTCCATTTCCTCGCCCTAGACTCAGAAGATGACTGTTGTGGAATAAGGAAGATGCTTTGTTGTAACATCCATTTAATGCATTGGTTAACAGTATAGAGTCATTTTGTGATTCGGTTATCCTCCATACTCTAAGATCAGGAGAGAACTGTCCACTATTGTTCCAATTGCGTAACTGCGTCGTAGAAAATGGACCCTGAACTCTTCCAGTCGGATCCTGGTATTGCCATATCCTTTCCACTTCTGCATCATTAGAAAAAATTCCTAACCCAATAGAAAGTGGTGGAATTGAGGCTTCAGGTAAGACCACTTGATAATTCCCATCAGAGGACACAGGAATGGCAGTTTTAGCCTCACTTGGTACATTCCAATTATTTGGTACAAGACCTCGTTCAGCACACGATGTTTCACAGGTTCTGTCACTGGGCAAGCAGTCACCTTCTTTATTTACGTGAGCAAGTAAACTAATATTTCTACTTTGCTCTGAAGTACTAGTTGAATTTTGATGTACATCACTTCCACTACCATTTGAATTGGTTTCTTTTCGTGGTGAGTTAAGCTTCTCCTCTTGTTCCTCAAAGTCACAATTTCTAGATCTCTTGAGACTTCCTGCAAATATACGGATAAATGTACAGAATGCACCATCAAGGACAAACTTGGAAATAGTTCCATAATAACATAAGACAGTGAACAGACCTTGTCTTTTCTTGTTTGATTCATCCTTATCTTCTTCAGACTCGTAACTTGGATCCATAGTTGGATCTGAACGTACTTCAAGAATTTCGAGAAGCCTGCGCTGGTATTCTTCAGGTGACTTCAGATGTTGCAACTTCTCCGCAAAATCTCTTAATGTATGGAATAGTCAAGGAATACCATAAAAGTTCAACTACTTTCAAAACCTAAACAGAATAGAAACTAAAAATCTTCTATAGATACAATCATCCACAACAAAGTGACAGTTTAGGAAATCTTCTCTCGAGGATCTTGTAGCGCTTGAATATGGGTGTAGAACAAATTACATTATCAATGCACAGATGTGTAGTGTAGTAAACAAAGCCAGGAACCCAGATAACTTGTCATGCGGAAAGGCATTGCAAAATTTGAATTTAAAATAAAAGGCATAAAACTAAAATTAAAAAGAACCTCCAGCTTGCATCGCTAAATTCAAGGGTGAACTTTTTAGGGAAGAGACACTAATCAACTACTCAATATTCATGAAACAAAGAATTGCAAAGAACGGGTGAAATGAAAAGAAGATATCACGTTGGAAATAGAGGTGGTCCACAAATGTTATTCAGCATTATCAGTAAACATGATAGCAATAAAGGAACAGAAAGAGTGGGTTCAAATAATGTTTCATAAAAGGATATTCATCCATGTTGCCCTTCACACTTGCTTGATCGTGGAGGTGAGTGAGTCGGGAGATCTCCTTTTGAAGCAGCTGGACAGAAATATGACAAACATACAACAAAAAACGAAACTAAGCACGTCAAAAAACAGCACAGTGCTGAAAGAAATCAATCACATGACCAAATATGAAAACAATCAAAGTTTTCTTAGATGTAACTAGCCATATGACTGACCCACAGTCTCAAGAAAATCCCCCCTACTATTTAAGTGTGTTGGACAAAGCTTGACAATTTTTATAACTTCTTAAGCCTGACCATGTTTCTGGCCTAGTCAAACCAAGAAAATAGACCAAGTCATCAACCATTGAGGTATATGAAGGAACTATAAATAAAACCTAAATCAATACATAAACCTGGGGCGCCCTGTACGCACATTTTTTTCCACCAATTTCCAGAATAAAATTGATATTGTGCTACCTTCTCAACATCCTTCTTCGAATAATTCTCATATTTCATCTTTCTATTATTGTTTCTGTTGGATTTCCTTTCGTAATATTGATGGTGTATTATGTACATATTGCATATTTATACTCGTAATATTTCCTTCCTTATTGCTTGATGGTTATTCTTCTACGTAAGAGGACCTTGTACTTGTTTTAGATGTATATGAAGAAATACAATAATATTATGTTTCTTCCCTAAATTCAAGTTGGTATTATAGCCACAATCCTTGGTGGTCTCACCCTAGTCACCAAATCGGAACCCTAGCCACCATTGGAAAAGGGCACCCTACCTCTAGCAGGCCACTTCAATTGCAAGTGTGAGTGTGCAATCTCGTATTTGTTAGTAAACTTTGTAGAGATTCTAATTGTCATATCATTTCTTTGGATCTCATTGTATTTATCAGCATCGGGAAAAAAATATAGTTCGGATGTTTGATGGTCTCTATTACTTCGATGAAGGTTTTTCTAGTAACAAAATAACTCAGGGTCTTAGTATTAGTTCTCTTACTGTTCATGAAAAAATCATGCTTTGGCATCATAGGTTAGAACATCCCAATTTTTTTCAACCTTAAACGTTAGTTTCTAGATTTATTAAAAAAATGTTGATTGCACCTCTTTTTCAGTGTAAAAGTTGCATCTTTGCAAAAAAAAGAAAAAAAAAAAAAAGAAAAACCATTGATCCACATATCTACCAACATCTTACAAAGCGTCTGAGAGTCCCCCAAACATGTGATTTGATAAACTTATCAACAAGCTGGCTATGGAAGATATCTACAAACCAACTTGAGGAGAAGTGTTGGATTTCCTTTTATATCTTCTGTAATGTGGATGATATATTATGTATATATTCCTTTGTTTCCTTATTGGTTGACGGTCTCTTCTCCATAAGAGGACCTTGTATTTGTTTTAGATGTGTAAGAAAAAATACAATAATATTATTCTTCTCCCCTAAATTCAAATTTCTTCTACCACCTTCACTTAAACTATCTGTCACACTCTCTACCACCTGCACTTAAACAATCTGTCACAGTTTGTAACATAATTCTATATGAAGATTATCCACATTATTGATCTTTGCAACATTCCCAGCCAAGAATCAACCATTTAGTGATGTCAACTTCAAATTCATAGCTAACCCCACCCTAGAAGAAAGAGAAGGAAAAAAAAAAAAAAAAAGAGAGAGAGAGCGAGAAAAAAAAGAAAAAAAGAAAAAAGGACACGTTTTGGCAACATGAGAATTATTAAATAAAAAGAAGAGTTTATCAGCATATTAGTTTCTTTACAGTATGTATATTTCAATTTACACCTATATGGTATAAGTTAAAGTGAAAATTAAAACACAAAGTCCCTAAGCATCTTACCCCTATAATAGTAATCTATAACATATCATACGGTTTAGCCCTCTTTTAGAAATAGTTGGAAACGTAAAAATGCATACAACTAACACTTAGTTCATTGTTTCACAAATAGTTGCCCATATTTTCAGTTAAGAAAAATAACATCAATGCTTCTATTTGAATAATATTCGCTTGCTATTTCAAGTAAAAACATCACATATAAAAACTAATTAAACTAATTTTCCATTTTAAATAGAATCAACCCACATATAATGGGAATTCATGTAAGTTTGTTTCATTAAAGATCTGTTTTTGGGCAGGGGGATTCTCTCTACCCCGGCACTTAGGTTGTTGTGTTGTGGCATCAGGTAGGCTGTTATTTTGTGGCATTGGTTCAGCCTTTCTAAAGTCTTAGCAAGTAAGATGTGTATCCTATCTAATGTCAAAAATAGATGTGATACACCAAAGATGTTTGGAATGGAGATGAGAGTAAAATTCTCAAATATTATTGGTTTGAGGATAGTCTTTAGTCTGGTATGTGTAATGTCTGATTGTTTCCTAAATGGGCAAACAGCAATGAGCAAGCTCTATCTCTACCACCCTCC